TTAAATGTAAAATTAGTTTGGATTCCTAGGGAACACAATCATACAGCAGATGGTTTAGCCAAATGTGGTGTGTATTTGGAGCATTTGTATAGCAACAATCTTCCTCCTTTGTAATTTGTAGGGGTTCCTCCCCTGCTTTGAACCTCTTCTTCCTTTAATGAATCCTGGTTAAATTTTCTCAAAAAAAGTTGATTTGGGTGGTAGAGGAGAGGGAGAGGTGATGCTGGACTATTTCTTTGAGAGAAATGTGGTGTTGGAGTTCGATAGAATCAATCAGCAGTTGAGGACCAAAGGACGCTGAAGATCGTGAAGAAAAAGCCTAATGCCGTCAGAGGATTCAATACTGAAAAGGGTTTGTTTGGAATTGGGCCTACTAAGAAGGTGAGGCCAAAGAAAGTTAGTAAGAGAAGTAGAGAAGTTTCTAATTGAGTCGTTGAAGTGTTGGGTCAAGTTTGCTTTGTCATTATAGGGTTCTAGTTCTATGTATTGTATTGTATCATGAGGGTGATCTGTTGTTTTGGTATTGGTGCTTTTGTCAGATTGATTGTCTCTGCTGATTTTTTAAAGTCTGGGGTGGGTTTTATTTGTAAGTGTAGATTGTGTTTCTTCTTTTGGCTGACTGCCTTTTTTAGAAAAGGTAAATTATATTGCATTAGACAAAAGAACATGGTTCTCTGTACAATGAGTTTCTGTACATGTGTAAGCCATGGAAAGACCTCAAAAAAATCCACCTTCAAAAAAGAAACAGAAAAAGAAATCTGTTTTTTTTTTGAAAATGTAAGGTAAAGCTTTATTAATAGAAGTGTACAAGAAGTACATGAACTGCAGACAAGAAAATTGGCACACTCCAAAGCATCGCACCCATTAGCAATGCAAGTGCCACCAGAACAAGACCACCAGCTCTCACCCAACGTAACCAAACAGCAAAAAACAAGCAACTTGAAAAAGACCTGAAACAAAAACTAGCAAGCCACAAGCACCCCTTTTGACTGGATTAAAATTTCTTGCCTCTACCTCTTCTGCCCCTCCCTCTAGTTCTTCAACATCCTCAGGGAGGGGGATCAACCAGCTTCACATCATAGCAGTCCTCTAAACACTTGGACTTTCTGCTCCCAACAGGAAATGCCGAAGGATCATAAGAGTGATCTGACCAAGAAAATTCGGGCTCTGTATCTAAGTCTGACACGACACTATAGGAGTCCTCGCCTTGCTGGAGCACCTAGCTTTAAATCACTTCCACACGATCCTGTCCTGATCGGCCGGGTAGGAAACCCCGAGCAAATTTCCAAACCGAATTGCTTTGTCCACCTGGTCATCTACACTTTCCTGGTCATTGCATACTTCCTCTACAGGCCTCTCGATAGGAATGTCACTCGCCAAAACTAAATCCTGACTGAGCTCACCTTAGCTTGTTGCCAAGCTTGGCTTCTTGATAGGAAGCTTAATGCTTGGGTTTGTCTTGGAACTCGCCATTGGACGAAGGAGCAAGGGATACATGAATCTTCCCTTAGCAAGACTTTGATTTGGTCAAACCGCTGCCAAATAGTCTTAAGGGAACTAGGCCACCAGTCAGATCCAATGCACTGGACTTCATAATATGTCTATTTAGGCCCAGGTCCAACTCATCACTTCTAGGTGGGGCAACGAAAGTAATTGGATTTACCTGCAACGGACGATCCAAACTCAGAAATGAGCAAGCTCTAAGCCTGAAGATTCCACCGACTCCTGGCAGAAAAAAGGTTTGAAATTTGAAGTTCCTGCCTGTTTGACCGACCTGAGAACAAGGCTGCCATTGTACTCGAGAGCCCCGAGAAGAAGTCTCTCGTCAGTGCTTTGTCTGCCACCATTCCTGCCACCGTCAAAAGACCATCCCGAAACCCTTCCTCCACCGAGAGCTGGAACTTTGAGAGACAAGCTGCCTCTCCTTCACCCACCACCAGAACTGGATGCATCTCCCAACCCCTTCCCTCTCCATTTACAGTTTGTACAGGCGGCCGCTCTGGCTCCGCACCCAGAGAGACCAACACCACCACAACCAGGAGTAGCCCCTGCTACTCTTCCTTCTACTAAGGAAGATGATGGACTGAAACCGGGTGGTGGGTATAGACGCGAAACAGGAGTCCCCATGTTCATGTCTCAACCATTGCAGTAGGGCTTCCAGTGAACAAGAGGGTACTCCGCATCCTCGACAGCTATCCAAAGGAGGTATCACATCCCTCACTACCAAATCTAAGGTTTTGGGGATATCTTTTATTGCTTTGCTCCAGACCAACAAAGGAAGGGCTTGGAGGTTTCTCCAAGCTAGGTTGCTTGGATCTGCAGTTATGAAACCTCCAACTACATTGCTTATCTCCTTGAACACTACGGGACACCAAGCTAAAAGTGGGACGCCAAAAATCTTGATCCACCACTTACCATAACCAAACCTGTCTTTCCGAACAACCAATTCCGAATTGGGACCAACGCAACAGTGAACAGTAAATGCCGTTGAGGATGGATAGTTGAGAGTGAAGTGCTCCATACCTTCTTCCTCTGATGCAAATACTAGAAACCACTTATTCCCTTCTAGTCTTCTTACCGCTGATTTCTGCAGGTTTCACCAATGAAGGAACACCCAACTTTCAACCTCTTCACAAGAAGGATTGCCACCTGCAAATCAAAGAACCAGGCATCTTCAGAGGAAGACTTCACGATCACGAACCCCTTCCTCATCAACAAAGACTCTGATTGTTCCTCCCTGCACCCATATAGTAGCTAGACCTTCCCCCGAAACGCAGAATTCCATTTCAAAGACTCTGACCGTTCGTAAATAGCCCCAAAAAAGACATCATTTTTAAATATATTATGAACAGCCAACCAAAAAAGGTATCATCATCTTTTGGGTGACTGCTTGTCACCTTTATCTGTATTACCAAAAAAAAATGGTTGTTAGGTTAGGTTAGACTAAATGTTCATCTGCTCAAATTATGGTTAACCTAGAATTTCAAGAGAAAAAGGCACAACTACAGCACAAAGAGTTGCTAAAGCCTAAGGTATTTGCCTAATGAAGGCACCACTTGTGAAAAAAGATAAATGAGAAGGTTAATATATGGAAAAAATGCAAAATTAAAATTTTCTAAACAAAATATTTAAAGTCTATTGACTCAATTGGTTAGAGCATTATGTTATTAGCATGAAGATTATAGCCTTTGTAGGTTCAAGTCCTACATAGGCTAAACCGTTTAAACTCTAAACATCATTTAGCACCACTTTAAAAAAAAATGAAAAGCTTAATATATAGGACTAAGCAAATCTAATTTTTTTATTGTTATACAAATCTATATTTTGAAAAAAAACAAAATATAGATTATTAGCTCTCTCAAGTCTGAACAAAGTTTGAACATATAAATTATTTTGAATATAGCATAATGAATGATTTTGAGCTTTCTTTGATTAAAAAAAAGAAAAGAAAAAGAGAAACAAAATATTTCAAAATGCTTATTAGCTCAATTGGATAGTGTTATGTTATTAGCATGAAAATTATAGACTTGTAGGTTCAAGTCCTACATGGGCTAAACTGTTTGAACTCTAAACATCATAGCTATAACCTATAATAAAGTAAATTACTTCTTTTGGAACAGTAACAAATCAGCAGCTTTATTGTTAAAGGATGAAATATGGAGATACAGAGCAGGGGGAAAACAAAAAACAAGAGCTATCCCATTCCACCATGGGGCATTTTTAAATGTTTTGTACAGTATCACATTGTATAGCTTTCAGGGGTCAAATTTGTCCCTTTGTTAATGAACTCCTTACCTTTTTTTTTTTTTTGAGAAAATGAACTCCTTACCTTATGCAAGAAAATAATTATACAATCCCTCAGTCAATGGGGTTAGGAACCCAATACAGCTAAATTCTATTTGCTCCTTCCCATGCAAGTTAGTCAGCCATGGAACTGTATTGTAAATTATCATTCAAACATCAAATTCATGGTTAAAATTCATCATAGCATAGAAATAAGCAAGGTGAGGTACACCTAGGTTCAGTTAAGGTATACCTAATAAATGAATCTCATATATGCACCTGAGTATACCTTTTAAAACACTGAATTTAGGTATTAAAAAGCATCTCTTTTTTCTCAAGAGAGAAAAACATTTCTAACTTTTATTCTCAAGTGTTTTCAACAGCTGGAAAACTGGCATTATTATCCTGATATTTTATTGTAAGGGAGATTGCACCAATTAAGAGAAAGGCATAGGATCTACTAAATGTGAATTTCTTTCCTCATGATATTCCACACCTCCCTTGCTTATTTGCATTGAGGAAAATAAATGCCATTTGGTTACTCAGCCTTCCCCACATCAGGATGTAATAAAGGGTTAAAATCTAGCCCTCTACCAAACAAAATTGTCCTAGTGGGAGTCCTGTCATGAGCTAGAAGCCTAGACAATACCTTAATTTCTTTGGGCATTACAGTAGGACTTGCATTTGCAGCCATAACCAAAACTGCTTTACCTACAACAACTAGAATGACAGTTTTCTAGTCAAGATTGCCATAATCATCTATTGACATCCGAAAACTAAAAAAGAAAAAACAAGAAAATTTTTTTATCAATAGGCAAACCCCATCTGAAATAGACAAGAGAGACCACTGTTCATAACAACAGAAAGACACATATGGGTATTATTATTGTCTTCATTTAAGCCAAGTACTTTTTGGCTATCAAATAGAAGTATGCCCCTTTAGTGAAAAGGGGATGTGCCCCAATCACTACCCCAATTTAAAAAGGAAGTTCAGAAATCAAAGCAGTAAATATATGTGAAATTTTCATATTAAAAATTACTACTGCCATTCAAAATAGGCAAAATCAGGAATGCTAAATACTACCACAATTTCAAGAACAGCAAAGCATTAATTCTATTGAACTAGAACATAACAATTTCTTATGCATACATTGAGAAAAAATCAAAAGTAGAATAGCCCATTTGTTATCAAAACAAAAATATTGAAGGACACTTACAGTTGGCTAAGACCTTTCCCCTATCTCCCCTTTAAGCATATGTTGAATCCAGCAGAAACTGTAACCAACCAAATCCAAAAGTCCTCATCAATTTACTGAATTAGACTTTTCATGCATGCACATGTGATTAAAACAATCAACTAGGGTGCAACTTGGGTTGGGTCGGGTCAGGTTGAGCCATACCCAAGCTTGATTTTGTTGAAATTCTTCACATTGAGTAACCCAATTTGCAACCCTCTACAAGCAATAAGCCTTCTTGAATGGCATCCATTGTTTCTGAGCCTGAGTCTCTTGAAAGCAAAAATCGTGAAAACACCCTGAGAGCACAGCATCCAGCCGCACATTGGGAATATCTCCCATACTTGTATAAGTCATGGATGGAAACATTTGTCAAAATCTACCATTTACAATATATGATTCGCGATTTGAATCATGAATCCCAAGGGTTCCAATTCGAATCTTATGTCCAAATCCTTTTTTTCAAAAATTTTATGATTTTTGTTTGAATCCTACAATTTGATTCATAAATCTTACAATTTATAGGATTCCTGTGATTCAAATAAATTCAATTAAGAATTAGTTCTCTACTTCATCGTTTTATTTTATTTATATTTAGTTTTGTCAAGGATGACTTGTTTTAAGGACCCTACTTGAAATTGATTTATTAACATTATATAAGACCATATATTAAATTTATTTTCCATCATATGTAGGATATAGAGCTATTGTATGTGGATTATTTGACTTTCAAGTCAAACTTGATTATGTCATCTTAGCATTCTATTGTGTTAGTAGTAAATTCTATTGTTTTAGCTACATATATGGTAGATATGGATTAAAAAAAAGTAAAATCACTTTTCTATTTATATCTTGACTTTTAGCATTTCTATATTCAATATTTTGACAAGTTTTTAAAAAATAAAAATAATCTTACAATTTACAATATGATTCATGATTTGATTTAATTCAACTTCTTTATGATTTACGATATGATTACAATTTTCAAAACATTAATGTAGCATTTAATTGGAGCATCCGATAACCTTGAAGCTGCAAATGAGAAAATATCACCCTAAAAGTGATACACTGGATTAAGACACTTGAGATCTTTTCAGCTTATTCAATGGAAGATATCATTCATGAATAGCAAATAGTGGCACATTCTCATGCACAAGGCCTAGAATTTGTAGGGGGTGGTGCCCTCCAGATGCAAACCACGCCAAACTTAATTTTGATGACTGCAAATTGGGTAAGCTGGCCATTCTAGAAATTTGGTGGAGTATTCAAAAACATCTGGCTTTGTTCTTGTCACGCCCCAAACCTAAGTCAAGACATGACAACACTGCGTATTCAAAGAACATGCAAGTATTTTGCTTAAAATCAAAACTGGAGATTTGTAGAACAATCTTAAACACCTCAAAATAAAGATATTTGAATCTATTGAATAGTCCTTACATCAAATATACCAAGAAGAACCCCGTATTAACAAGTGGGATTAAAATTCCTATTTAACCAATAATGAACTTCAAAGAATGGTTCCTTTAAAACATGAAGGAAAAAATTAAATAAACAATTAACTAATGGGATATAATCATGATTACAAGACCAACATGCTAGCAGAACAAGCTCTCTACTCTTATCACACCCAAGAAAACAACAAAATCTACTCCTCGGTGTTTGAAAATGAGGAAAGAAAATGGATGAGTATACTACTCAGTAATAGACATTCATCCCACTAGTCGGATCAAGCTGGTGTTAAAATCATTATATAATAATTGATATTTGATAGAAAATCCTTTACCGAAAAACTCACATAAATCCATATAGATTCATTCATATGGGAAAAATTGGTTAGAAACACATAATGTGAAATGTGTAACATATATCACATAACAAATTCAGAAAGTAGACTACAACCACTCTAACCTTAGTGGCAAGGTCTAGAACCACGTATATGCCCTGTGGTGAGGGCCCAAAATAGACCAGCCCATGATGCCATCATATTCATCCCCAATGGCTGGATCCAAAGCGTAGTCGCTTAATTTTAGAATACAAATAGATAAGACAATCCACACATGGGTCTCAATAGCACATTTGACAATAGTAGTCAAAACATATTCAACTTGGATAGCATATACTCAGAAAATCAATGGAATATTTTAAGAATGACAGAGTATCAAATAAATCATTTCAAATAGTTAAAAACGCAATCAGCATAATTCCAAATTACAATTGTCTAAAATTTTTGCTTATAAGTTATCATTTCATAAGGTCAAATATTTTCTCATGCTTGGCTTTACTTTATGTAAGAAAAAAATTAGCATATACTTTTATTAAATTAACATTTTCCAAATTAACCAAACAAATAGAAGGTCGCTTACCTAGTACGCTACATCCCAGTACCCAATATAATGACATATATACCAAGTCAAGGTGTGTCGTGAAAGTTTATAAATAATAGATAGATACATAAATTAAAAAAATAAATAAATTATTACAACAAATCTAGAATTGTAGATACTATGTGATGCCTCTGGCTTATTGCCCAAATCCCATTAAATCTAAAATGGTTTATCACTAGGGTTTCTAAGTTTCTCTAATTTCAAATTTTCAACTAATAATCTCCCGGGACCCATTTTCATCATTTATAGCTCATTTTCTAAGGACAAAATTTATGAATTTATCCTTCAACATTAGGCCGTCAGAAACCAGCCCTCCAGTTTTTGGCCAGATTTTGATTCCAAATCATAGTTCTTGAAGAGGTCTTCAAAATGGTAGTAGGTAGATACCCTCATTTTAACTTCTGGTGAAAAGTTATGGTCTTGGTAAGGTGGCATTCAAAACATACTAAACTTGGGAATTCTGCAAAGAATGATGATTAGCAGTTTTGTAAAATTTTTGGGTCAAATTCGATACTATCTTATGGTTGGTCGTGGGGAGTTTGTATTTGAAGGATAAATTCATAAATTTTGTTCTTAGAAAATGAGTTATAAATGTTGGAAATGGATCCCAGGCGCTTATTAGTTGAAAATTTAAAATTAGAGAAACTTAAAAACCTAAGTGATAAACCATTTCAGATTTAGTGGGAATTAGGCAATAAGCTAGAGGCATATGCATCGTGCAAATAGCATCTATAATTCTGGATTTTCTGTAATATTTTTTATTTATGTATCTACTTATTATTTATAGGCTTTCATGACACACCTTGACTTGGTATATATATTGGGTACTGGAATTTAGCGTACTAGGTAAGCAACCTTCCATCTCTCTAGTTAGTTTTGAACATGTTAATTGAACAACAGCATATACTACTTATTTTTATCCTACATAAAATAGAGTCAAGCACGAAAAAAATATGTGACCTTATGAAACGATAGGTTATAAGCAAAACATTTAGACAATTGTAATTTGGAATTATGTTGATTACACTATTAATATTTGAAATGATTTCTTTGATACTCCATCTTTCTTAAAATATTCCATTGATTTTCTGAATATTTGGTATCCAAGTTGAATATATTTTTACTGCTATTGTTAAATGTGTTATTGAAACCCATGCGTTGATTGTCATATATATTTGTATTCTGAAATTAAGTGACTATGCTTTGACCCCCACTATTGTGATGAATATGATGGCATCACAAGTTAGTTTGTTCTGGGCCCTCACCACAGGGCATATATGTGTTCTACACCTTGCCACTAAGGTTAGAGTGATCATAGTCTACTTTTTGAATCTGTTATGGGATATATGTTACACATTCCACATTATGTGTTGTTAACCATTTTTTCCCATATGTAAGTTTTGTTTTGTAACTATTTGAGTAGTTATTTCCTTAAATATAATGTATATGGATTTATATGAGGTTTCTAATAAAGGATTTTCTATCAGATATCAATTATTATATTATGACTTTTAACACCAGCTTGATCCAACCATTGGAATGGATTGTCAATTACTGAATAGTGTATTCATTCATTTTCTTTCCACATTTTCAGACACCAAGGAATAGCTTTTGCAGTTTGCTTGGATGTGAGAAGAGTAGAGAGCTTGTTCTGCTAGCTTGGTCTTGAAATCAAGATTAGATCTCATTAGTTAATTGTTTATTTAATTTTTTTCCTTCATGTTTTAAAGGAACCATTCTTTGAAGTTAATTATTAGTTGAATAGGATTTTTTATCCCACTTGTTAACATGAAGTTCTTCTTGGTATATTTGATGTAAGGACTATTCAATAGATTCGAATATCATTATTTTGAGGTATTTAAGATTATTTTTCAAATCTCCAATTTTGCTTTTAAGCAGGATTGCCTTGCATGTGGCGTTGTCATGTCTTGACTTAGGTTCGGGGCGTGACAATTTAGTGGTATCAGAGCCAAGTTATGGTCTTTAGGGAATTACTTAGGTTTGTAGTGAGATGGGTAAGAAACTATGAATTAGAGTAACTCAGATCTTTTGATTTGATTAATTGTGTTTTGTTATTGTTTAGTTAATTTTTAGATCATAAATTTAGTGTACTTGCTATAGTGAATTAACAAACATTTAGAATAATTTAAGTAATTGACTCATGATTTCAGCGTTACAATTTGATTCAATATGTCACTATGCCTCCCCACTCAGAGAAGATTTTTCCCTAAATCCTCCTATGCCGCAAGAGGTTAGAGTCATGAATCTAGGGGTTCCCGTCGACAAGAAGAAGTTAACAATTTTGTTGGTAATGTTGGAGATATTAATGGAGATCAGGTACCTCTGACTAATGTTGTAGCCCAATCCAGTCTTAAGAATACTTCTGGGATATATCAAATGTTACAACAAATGCTCCCCCAACAACAAAATACTACAAATGACAACATCTCTGCATTACTGAACCAACAGCAACAACAATTGAAACAAAACTTGATGGCACAACTGAAGCAACGTAACAGGTTTTTGGAATTTAAGAGGATCGCTCCGCCACCTTTTAAGGATACCATTGACTCTATTGAGGTAGAGAAGTGAATCCAAGAGATGGAGAAAGCTCTTAAGGTGTTTAAGTGCCCAGAGGACAAAATGGTATATGCAACCCATTTGCTACAAGGAGTTGCTAATGATTGGTGGACACAAGAACAAGTATATGAGGAGAATAAAGGGAATTGCACTTGGGACACATTTGTAAAGGCCCTTTATAAGCACTATTTCCCTAAGAGTGTTCGTCAACAAAAAGAAAGGAAATTCCTTGATCTAGTGCAAGGAAACCGGACCGTGGACTAATATGAAGCTGAATTCGCCATCCCGTCTTAATTTGTTCCTAATTTGGTGCCAAACCAGGAGAATTGTGCTCGTAGATTTGAGGGATTAAATTCCCAGATCAAACAAATAGTTGTTG